CCAGCCAAATAAGGACTGGGGAGACTTGCCGAGGCAGGGAGGGGGGGCGACTGAGGGGGAGGGGAAGGGGAGCGAGCGGGAGAGCCCGAGCAGGACTTGGGGAGAGTGAGCGGGAGAGAGAGGAGAGCACCAGCCCCAGAGACGGGGGAAACTAGACAGAGAGACGCAGATAACTACCGAGAAAGCGGTCGAGAAAGACCGAGGGGAGGGGTGTGTGTGACAGGGAAGGAGGTGAAACCAGAGGTAGAAAAGGGAGAGGCCTCCAGGAGATGCAGAGCCAAAGATGGAAGCAGGAAGAGAGACAGACCGAGACAGGGAGCCCTGGGTGGCTGGAGATAAACCCATGACACCCACAAGACAGAACAGCAAGGAAGGGGAAGGAAACAGGCAGGGCCAGCTCTGGAAATCGGTGTCAGGGCCGGAAGGGACCTGGGGCCTTGCTGTGGTGCCCCTTCCTGTATGGATGAGGAAACTGGAGGCCCAGAGAGGCCAAGTGACACGCAAAGGCACGCAGAGTTAGTGACGGTGCTGTTGCGCTTTAGGCATGCTTCCGTTCCTCCCGGGCCACTGCCTCCCCCGCACAAGGCTTGGCTGTCTTAGGAACAGGCAGGGCCCCACTGTGGACCTGGGCACACATGAGCCAACCCCCAAGAGAAAGCCCTGCTCTGGTGAACTGTGTCCCTCCTCCAGTCAGCAGGGTTCCGGGAACTGGCTGAGAAAGCACAGGCTGGAAGCCTAGGCCTCCTGCCCTGCTCCCCAGGGCTCCTGGCTGTCCTGACGTCTGTGGCTCCTGTGCTGTGCCAGTGTGCCAGGCTGGCTGGGGCTGGGCTGCCAGAGACAGCACCGGACACCACCCTGGGGCATCCCAGCTAAGTGGGATCTAGCTGAAATAGGGCGGTCTGGGGCCTCAATCAGGACACCCACTAACAGATTGGAGAAACCGGGACAGAGGGCTCCCTAAAGAAACTGAGGCATAGGGAGTATCAATTTCTTCACCTGTCAAACCAGCGACCCTGCAGATAAGGGGACATGGCAGTGGGATCTGCCCCTCTCAGAGCCTCCTCTCCTTATCTCTTCGATGAGATGCCATGGCAGATGATCCCACAGGCCTGCACAGCTCAAAACGATTCCAGACTTGGATGGGCTGAGCAGGCAGAATGATTGGAATGCAGATCCCAGTGCCAAAGAGGGTCAAAAAGTCCTTCTTAAGACCCTGGCATGGGCCATGTGGAGAGACATGGAAGAGGCCCCAAAGCCCCGGACTTAGGAGGCAGCCAGCCAGAATTGGGAGTGTCATCGGCCACTTCCTAGGCTGGCCCGCCACAGCCAGGCACTACCCTGCTTCTCCAGTGGGGCCCCAGAAGTGCCACCAAGCCATTCATTCTTTCAAGCAGCCACTCAATGAGTACGTATCAAGCATCTGCTGTGTGTTGGGCGAGGCACGTCACATGCATTCTCTCTGATCCTTACTACAGTCCTGAAAGGGAGGGACACATAACCCGTTCCATAGATGGGGAAACGGAGGCTAAGCGTGACAGAAAGTCACCCAAGTTCCCTCAGCTAGGAAGAGGCTTCGGTCATCTACCTCCTAAGCCCATGATCTTCTCCATGACTCGCAGAGCCTTAATATTTTTTCCATCTGTAAAATGGCATAGATAATTACACCAGCTCTCCCCACCTCCTGAACAGTTTAAGGGATCAAAGGAGACCACACGCCTGCAAATCAGACCAAGTGAGACTCTCTAATGACTCCCATCTCCCTAAGACTCAGATCTCTGAATCCGGGGCCTGGGAGGGCCCCACACCCATAGTACCTGGTCCTCCCTCCTCCCCGAAGGAAGAGTTTTGACTCTTTGCAGACACCAACTTCCTGGTCTCACTCTCTGGCCAGGAACTCAGCCTATTGCAGGCTTTCTCCCTTAGTACCTTCTGACTCTTGAGGAAAAAGCACTGCCTTTCCCAGCTTCCCAGGCTGGAGATCCGAGTTCTGTCCCGTGCTCTGCTGATGCAGTGCCTGGCTGCAGTCACCCCAGAAGCCAAATCCTCCAAAGCAGGTCTAGGTGAGCAGGTGGCTGCTAGAGTTGGTTTCCAGGGTAAGAAGGCTGTGTGTGCAGGGTCTGCGTGCTTCTGGCTGTCTAGCCAGGCTGCTGTACAGATGAAAGGTGATCTTACAAGTGCAAGAGCCCTGGAAAAACAAAAAAGCTCTTTTTAGGGGCAAGACATTTATTATTAATTATGATGAAGCTTTTTCTTACAGCACTTCCGTACTGGAAGGACCTTTAGAGATCATTTAGCCCAACCCCCTCATGTTACAGATGAGGAAACCGAGGCACAGAGTCTAGGAAGGGGGCTGCCCAAAGTTACACAGTGAGTGAGGGGGTACCAGGACTCATGCCTCATGGTGGGGGGGAGGGCTTTCTCGTAGCACCCATAATGTATGTGATCCTGGTACCTCAGGCAGGAGCACAGAGCACACTCATAGCCCCGCGTGGGTCCCCTTCCTGCCCCTCCTCCCTCCTTCCCCGTGTGGAGGGGACACGGGTGTAGGAGCCACGCTGGTGCCAGCCCAGGTTTCAGAGTAGCCCGTGGGACTTGCAGCCTGAACTGGGCCTGTTTGTGCCAAAGACCTAGAAGCCTATCCCACTTCCATCCACTCAGGACTCCCAGACCTGCCCCTACCTGCCCAAGGTCAACCTGTCTGTGCCACATGTTTGCTAAGGCACTCAGGGCCAGTCACACCCTCTCCCTGGACCTCGGTTTGCACACCCATAAATGGAGGGTTCGGACCAGGACACGTCTGTGCTTCCTTCATTTACAACATCCCATTACCTTCCTGCTGGCTTAGGCCTCTGTTTTCCCAGTTCTCTCAAAATTCAGGCCAAAAAAGGGAACAGCCACAGCTTTTAAGACTCTAGTTTGTGAGGAAAGGAACACAGAGTGAGGGTAACTAGCACAGAATTGATCACTAGTTGCTGTATTTTATTATACACAATTATTTTCCAGCATTATCTCCCACTCCATTCCTCTCTAAGCTCTAAGCACATCCGAGTGCTTTTTTTAAAAAAATAATTATTTAATTTTATTTATCATTATTACTATTTCGAAAAAACTTGCTGCAGGGCATGTGTACTCACCAGAGAGAGACAGAGAGACACAGAGAGAAAGAGAGAAAGCAAGCCATCAGGTCCAGGACTTGAACTATGATCAGACATGTGTGAGTCCAGTGCTTTAACCACCACACCACCTGCTGGCCCTGACATCCAAGGCTTTCATGCTTTGCATAGCTTCTTACTCCCCTGAACTGGGCTGCTGGTATCTCCTTGCTTCTCCCATCTTCTGTCTGTTGAACTCCTATTCAAACTTCAAAACCCAGTTCAAAGGCCACTCCTTCCACGAAGCATTCCCTAGTTCCTTGGCCTGAACCACTGGCTCTTCTACCT